GGTTAGGAATTAGACTTAAGGTTTTTATTACAAATTATAAATTATGGTCTCACCGAGAGGATCTTTTTGATACCTAGGTGTTTTCAGTACACATCACAGTTGTTCCGATATAAGTACCGTTTAAACAAGGATTAATTGAAGAAAATGCTTCCACAAACTTTGTGGATATAGTATTTGGTTTGAATAACTAAATGGATGACGCGTTGGCGTTTGATTTGAAATATTACGAGTTATAGTCTCTGTAAACTTCTACTCTAGCCTGCAGGTATATTGAACTGACGATTTCTAAAAAGGACAATATACATTTCTTGGATCCCACTTCCAGCTACAATCCATTTATTACAGAAGACATTGTATGATAAGCTTTAAAATAGTAACATAATCGTTACCTACGTTTCAGAATCATAAAACTATGTGTATACTAATCGTAATCAAACTTAACAACTCTTTATTATCACAAATATATTTTTTGGCTGTGTACAGTACATTTACTTTATGGTCCAAACTGCAAGAAATATGATGTGAAATATTATGATTCATTGGACTATATAAAATAAAAGCAAGATTTAAGATAGTGAGTTCTAAGCAATGAAATTATGAGGGAATGAATACCTCTTCAAAGTAAAGAGTAAGGAAAAGATAATAACAACGCAAATGAATTATTAGTATGTAGAGTTGGCAGAGATTGTTGAATTCTATGGTTTATAACACCGACTAATCTTAGTACAAATTGAGAGAAATATGATTCGAATACTTTGACAATAATTCCATTAGGTTAATACACTCACTTCATTAACAGTTACAACTACGTGGTACGTCATAACGTAATTCATTTCACGTATTCTTTTAAGTAAATAGTTTCATCGATTTGAACATAACACTTAACATTTTTACTTGAATGAACAAAACTCGTTTCCGTTTCCAAACTTCCTAATTGTGTTGTCGATAAATAAAAGGAAATAACTCTTTCCGATATTCGCATTCTTACACAGTATTTTTCTGCCAAAAGGTTTTCTCGTGTGCATAAAACTAGATTACGTTATGAGTGAGAGTCTGAAGGATATAATTTCTATTCATGTGTATGTTGAATTTGTAAGACATTGACTCAGTGAACTGGTACCCATCACAAAGATACTACAAGCTTGTATGACATGTGCTACGAGAGTTGTTTCCGAAAACAGACAGATGGGTGTTGTCTATCAAATGGTGAGTGTCTTACTTAGACGTTAACCCCGTCCTATTGATATCTATGTGACAGAGTCATTAACTAAAGAGGAGATTGGTAAATTCATGCTATTCAGTCGTGAATTTCTTCGGAGTATTGTTATTGAACGATGAGACACATGTTCTGGATTCTATTACTAGTTAAATTCCATCAATTTTGTGAAAACGTGAAGTAATTAAATTCAATATTATTGACAATGATCCAAATCAATTCACTTTTTTATTTCTTCAACACTGATTTCTTCTTTTACTAATCATTCATTTTATATCCACTCAGGGTTTTTTTTTCCTATTTTAATATTTTGTTTACCTATTACCCTTTTTCTTTTATAAACTATGGAAAAATTGAATCGTTGTTAGTTTAATTTTTTGATTATATTTATTTTTATTTTTCATTATCAAATAAGTTGATTGTTTCAAAAGTAATCGATGAAATAGACAATACTGAAAAGAGTTATTCATAACATTTCATAATTGCCATACATTTTAATAGTTGAGATCATGAGTCCGTTGAAGTTAGATCACCATGGGAAACCTGGAAGCAGTGGATGGCGGTTTCGTGCGCATCCACGGTCCCGCCTAGCGGGATTCGAACCCAGGAGCTATCAGTCTTGTGCGCGAGCTCTTAACCACTAGACCACTAAGTTGGCATCCAAAGGTGTGCCATACGTTTGTTTTCTTTCGCAATCGAATCCAGTTTTTCAAAATCATCTGGATAATATTGTTACATCATTTGGTTATAGTCGAATGCTTGAAACGTTGAGACTAAGTAAATTTGAGATTATATATATGACAAATCTAACTTTAAATGTCATTATGAAAACAATTAGTCATTATTATTTATTTGTTTGACCACACACAAGTTAACATGTGTAGTTGAAGAATTTTATCTTTTCTAGTTTCTGTGAAATAAAGAAAATCATTAAAAGTCAATTATTGACTTAATCTGAAAACTATGTATTATGTGATTTGTTTCCAAATAATTTGATGTTAAATAAGGAAAGAAAATAAATGTTTTGGATCCGATCAAGTATATACTATATTTTCATAATAGGTTGCTACAATTGTCTTTAGTGCTCTTTAATTTATAAGACCATTAAATATTAAGAATTTCCACTGTGTTAATTACTTACCTACTTACGCCTGTCATCCCTCGTGGACAAGCACAGGCTGCTCCATCCAATTCTGTGCTAGACAATCCTTTCCACTTCTTTCCAGTTGCTATTCATCCTCTTCATGTATGCTTCCAATTCCCGACGTAGTGTGTTCTTCAGGCTTCCTCTTTTCCGTTTATCATCAGGATTCCAAGTTGGGACTTGCCTCGTGATGCAGTTTGATGATTTCCGTAATGTATGTCCTATCCACTTATATCATTTTTTAAATAATTTCCTCTTCAGCTGGAATCTGGTTTGTTCTCTCCCATAGTAGGATGTTGCTGATGGTATACGACCTATGGACATTTAGTATCTTGTGTAGACAATTGTTTATAAGGACTTGTACTTTTTTGATGACGATTGTGTTAGTTCTCTAAATCTCAGCTCCGTACAATAGAACTGTTTTGACGTTTGTATTGGAGATTCTGACTGTATAAATTAGGACAACACAAAAACCAATAATACTATTTTCAGTCAAATGTTCATTAGGCTTTACTCTTACATACAGAAAAACTTTTTATTCATAAATGAAAAGTACTTTGGACTAATCAAGACATGTTCTAGGTCAATGACGAACAATGAAATATTGATAATTTAAAAAGTTCGATGGAATAGTAAAAGCAACTAAGAGTACTAGAGCAAACAACCGTTTTCCATAATCTCATAAAATTATTATAATTTCTGTATCACAATAAACAAAATGTTGGAAAATAAAAATTGAAAGTGACAAATTTCGCGTCCATTGAATGCTAAATACTCCAAATTACTCACCGAACAAAATAATATCATTGGTAGTATCAAGAAAAGGTCATTCATAAAGGGTAAGAAAGATTATATGCCGTACTTAAGGTGACGAGTCCTAATGAATAACAATGAGATCATATGACGATCAGTTTTAGACCACCGTTGAAAACCTAGAAGCATTGAATGATCGTTTCGTTCTAGTATTAGACTAATCGCCACTGCATATCCACGATCCCGCAATCAAGAGACGAACCCAGCACCTTCGACCTCGCGCGCGAACACTTAACCTGTAAACCACTGAGCCGGGATTCAACTGTGTTAATATCTAATTTCAATCAGTCCACGATATTACGCGACGATCTATTGTGTAATGAATAAGTTAAAATGGTAGTTTAAAAAATATTCATGTAAAATAGAAATTTCTTTGACATCAGGAGCCGATCTAAATCAAACCATCATTCGAAATCTGGAAGCAATGGACGGCCGTTTCGTCTTAATATGGGACTTCTCACTAATGAACATCCACAAACCTGCAATCAGGAAACGAACCCAGAACCTTCTGTCTCGCTGCGACCAGTAAATATAATCCGTATCGGGTTGAAAGCAGGAACCCATAAAAAATAATGGGATATTTGCATGTAGTATCGTGGTTTGAATAAAGTTATTCATTAATGCCGTTGAATGCCGAATCATTGATCTAGAGTTTATGACCTGAGGTCTTCAGTGGGACTCTTGCCTGCGGAATTGTGGATGCGCAGGGAGGAGGAGTTTCGTACTAGAACGAAACGCCCGTCCAGTGCTTCCCCGTTTTTAGTGGTAGTCTAAATTAGATCAGCTGGTGACTTCAATGAAATTCAATAATCCGTCATACTGGAAGTAAAAGTTGTTGTTTAATATCAGATAGGTTTTGTGGATATTATAGTGATTTCAATGGTTAAGATCATGAGGCACTTGTAGTTAGACCACCATGGAATCTCGCAAGGGGCGAGGTCGTGGATGAGCACTGCTGAGGAGTCCCATAGTAGGACGAAACGGCCATCCAGTGCTTCCAGGTTTTCTATGATGGTCTAGCTTCAACTGACTCATGATCTTAACCACCGAAAAGTTGTGTTGTGGTTGCTTTGATGATGATAATAGTAATAATAAACATAATGATATTAATGATAATGATTCAAAAATGTGTTGTATAAAATAAGAATAATAAATGTATTATTAAGAATAAGGAAATTACCTTTGAAAGAAGTCCAGATCATAATGAAGGATGAGGGACACAACTGTAACTGAGAGTATTTAAATTGGTAGTGAGATGACATGTGTCCCGGTAGTGATAAGAATACTAAAAGCTTAAATCAATGTTTCAATACAGGAATTAGGTCAAAATGTGGGAAAATAGAGCTTAAGACAACAACAAACTGCCTAACAAGAAACGTACAAATAATCAGGTAGTAAAGAACGTATATGAAGGAGAGTGAAGAAAGAAAAGTAAACCAAGGATGTGAAAAATTAGTAGAACCGTTTATGCCGCCGTATCCAACCAAAAAATGTTACGAATTTCTTTTAAATACATAGACCAGGGTTTTATGTTCAAATCCTTACAGCTTTTGTAGGAGATGAGGCTAAATCCTGTTGGGAAATGCAAAATTACACAATAAATCACTCTTTTCAAAATAATCAAGAGAGTATTCACTCATTGATTGGTTAAGGTGACATGTCTAATTTGTCAATTTCCACTGGGGTAGCTGAATTTACACATAAACATCAAAGAGGTAAAATGTCGTAACTTATTCTATTTAATGGTTCTGATTTTATATTCATATTTTTTTTTGTATACTTTCAATTTAGATCTATTCCTTTTTTGTAATTTTTTTTCTTGTATAGCTACGTATATTGCAAAAAATGCGAACCAGACAATCAAATCAACATCACTTCAATGTACGTATTACTTGTACTAATCCAAATACAACAACACCAACAACAGATTCTACTATTATTAGCACACACAATACATCAAACAATATTTTATCTAATTTTCAAAAATTTTTAAACATTAATAAATCGGATTCATTGAATAATTCAGTAAAGATTTCTCAAGATAATCGTCGTAATGCCTTCATTCATTATTTACACGATATAAGCAAAAATTATGAAATGCCCAAATCCACATTAACAACCACAATTACAACGATTTCTAATCATAATGATTCTGGTCAATTTCAACAGCTCTGTAAAGATTCACAACTACTGACACATCATTATCATTACTGTGAACATAATAATAATAATAATAATAATAATAATAATAATAATAATGAGAATCAATCAGAAAAGTATGGAAATTATTTAGAACAAATCATAACATCGAACAGTATAAACCCTACTACTACTAGTAGTAATATCAACCATCGCAGTACAGCACCAACGTATACAAATCCATTAAATTGTCCATTATCCTTATTATCTTTTGTAAGTAATTTAAATAAAGTTAGTAGTGTGGAAAAAATAACTGATGATAATGATAGCGAAGATAAAAAAAAGGGAGAAGAGGCAAAAGAAGTTAAAGGTGATCGACGCCAAAGACGATCACGGGGACAACGACAATGTCGGCGGCAACAATCGAAACAACAAAATCAACAACACTATCAACATCGACAGCGGAAAAAGTCACAAGTAAATGAGAAATTTCGACAGAATAAACAAAAATTCCTATCTTTATCTGATAATAATAATAATAATAATAATGATAATAATAATAATAATGAAAGTAAAAATACATATTGTGAGACTTTATCGATTCCATTCTCCTCTTTTGTATCATCACCGTCGCCTTTATCACCATCATTATCGTCAATATCACTATGTACAACCAATAATAATAACAATGATAATAGTTTAAACTTGAAACATGATCTGACCATAAATTCCAGTGGGGTCCGTAATCTCAATATGGTAAATGTGTCTACAATGTCTACGAATGATTTAACAACTAATAAATCAAATATTAATGACTTGCCATCTAAATTAGTAAGTTATTCCAAATATTTTTGATTATTTGGTGTTAATAGTTTTTTTGAATATACCCACTCCAGAAGTTCCAAACTATCTAGTGAATTCTGTGATTGTAACTGAGCATATTTTAATGTTAGTAATAACGAACATATAATTTGTTAGTAGATTAATAATTTAATGAGTATATATGTTAAGTGGTTGGTGGAGGTAGTCAGCAGGAAACTATGGACCTAAGTGTTTTGCTAGTTGACATATGTCAACAAGGCATACCTGCAACCTTAACTGAACTGATGCCTCCCATGAGATTTCATCAATAGAATACTAAGTATATATTTACAACTGACTGATCTTGGAGCAATGACTAATTTTATGTGTATTTAGACCCTAGTTCTTTATGACTCCAGTTTAAATCCCAGAATGATCATTATTTCCCGGACAAGTGAAGGTCCACCTTGTCGACGACTGGAAGCCAACATGAAGTCCAGCACCATGGTTTCCTACAGACTACATCCAATTATCTATTATCTAAACTTGGTACTCCAGATTTCGAGTCACATAGACTAGTAGGCACTTTGCAACTTGATCACTAGAATTAGATAAGTACTTAAGGACTACAAAGAGATCATTTAGTGGTGAATATTTACATATATATTTGTAGTTATGCAGTTTTAATAAACGAACTCGTTATGAAACTATCCTAGACAAATTATTGTTATGTTATTAATTATATAAGGGGTTATTGAAGATAAATTTCATTAAAATGCTTAAATCAATTGAAAGACATTGAAAACATTTGACGCATCATTGAATAATACTGCTTTGATTTTAGTTCAGGAATTTTCAGGACTTCACCGTATGGTGTTAGCTCAGAAATCTAAAAGTGTCGTGTTTTCCTTGAGGACTGATTGTCTTTTTTATTATTTTATTTAAACAAATAAATATTAGTACAAGGAGGCACCGAACAGATATGCGCCACATAAACCATTCGGTTTGTGTGAGGGCTGGGATACTGCCCGGGTGCCCAAACCGAAGCCAGTGGTTTTCTTACGGAGCTACTCCCCAAGACTTTGACCTACATGTTTAATCCACAGGGTAGTGGAGCAATGTTAGGAGATACAGTACTATGGTAGCCCGTGACCAACAATAGGTTCATACGCCATTTGTTCCCTCAGGATAATGGAGCCCATGTGCACCATAGGTTTGGAATCAAGGTTTTCCAACTCCCCTAGGTGGACTCTTCGTATCCACCAACCCGGTTGAGGCCCCGGACATTCGCTTTTCGTCCTCTCAACTTCGTAAACAACACTCCTGCCACGAGAAGGCATTGAGTAGGACTTCCCTGGCAGGGGTTGTACGCACGTGGCCGTGTGAGAGCATTCGAAGGGGGGGAACTGATTTTCCCCACTCTCGGCCGTACCAAGTCATTTGGGTAAGAATCATCCTCAACCTATTCTGAAACTTTTATAGTTACACTTTTAGCTTACTGACTATATCATTTCACTCCATTGGTCAACTTTAAATTTGGATTTATAATTACACTGTAATAATATACTTTTTATAATTGATTATAATTCACTAATTTCACTAATCTGATCATCCAAATTTCTTGTTCAAAAAATGATGAACTAACTTCTAAAATGAAAACAAATAAGGATCATAATAGACGATATCTAAGATATTTACGTCTTCATCATACCATATGACGATATTTTGTGTGTTCATTTAACCTGTAAAACAACAACAACAAAAGAAAGCAACCACATAATATAAATTCAGTCCACTATTAGGTTAATAGAGCACATAAATGATTTTTTTTATTATAAACTTAATATTGAGAGTATACTTTCATCTGTAATGCAGTTGGTGTAATAATGATTAGGTTATATTAAGAGTTTTTTGCAATATAGGTAACATATATCTGTTAGTTAATGCCCTGTTACGGCCGAGAGTGGGGAGAGTCCACTCTCCCTCTCCAAATGCTCTCACATGGCCACGCGTACATAACCTCTGTCAGGGAAGTCCTACTCACTGTCTTCTCGCACCACGGGTGTTGTTTACGAAAATGAGAGGACGAAAAGCGAATGTCCGGTGCTTTAACCGGATCCCAAATCATTGGTGCACATGGGATGGCTCCAATATCCTGAAGGAACAAATGGCGTATGAACTAATCGTCGGTCACCAGCTACGTGGAACTGCATCTCCTTACGATGCTCCACTGCCTTGTGGGTCAGACATTCAGGTCGAAGGTTCGGGGTGTGGTCCTTTAAGAAAACCACCTACTTCGGTTTCGTCACCCGAGCAGTATCACAATCCTGACACAAATCAATTGAGATTCGTGTGGCGCATATGTACTTGGTGCCTCCGTGTACATATACCTATGTGTTAAAATAAATAAAATATATTAAGAGTTTTTTGCAATATAGGTAACATCTATTTGTTAGTTAATCGTGTATAAAGTACAGGGATCTACTGTTTACCATAAGTTATCTCATTATAATATGATACAGGAGTAAGGTCAGAAAAATAAAGAATTTTTTGTGTTATACTCTTTGTCTAGTTTTTGTTAACGTTTCATTACAATCTACATCTATTAATAATAAATGTATATGTTTTCGTCATATCCCAACGAGTAAAAAACATTTGTATTCCGGACGATGTTTCATGACTTAATGTAAACCACTGCTTCAGAGTGTACTATTTTCTTTGTATTATTTAAACTTGTGTTAATTTAATCCAGTTATCGATTTACTTTGAAGAAGTGGCTTACATTAAGTTACGAAACGTCAGAAATATAATTTTTCTACTCATTAGGATATAACAAAACAAATATATTTATTAATAACTTTCTCAAATCCTTTAAAACTATGGAATTCAACCTTGGCACTGGTACCTACAAAAGTTACATCTGTGTTATTTGAAATAAAATATTGATATAATCATTGGTCGTGCATATTTAACACATATGCACACTTTCTCACTATCAAATAAATCATCCGTTGATTTATTATTCTTACTAAACATCCTACGCTTGATATCAGCATTGTTTACCTAGTAAATACATCACACGTAAACAATGGTTTGGAATAATCCTATGATAAAATATTCACAGCTAACAAATGTTTTTGACGTCCCTAAATCAATAATTGCTTATTGATACACAGTTAGACAACTCACTTTCTATTAATATTTAACATAAAATTAAGACAAGTATTGTTTTTTAAATATTTATTTAAACTACAATAACCATCAATTGTCCGTCGTTATTGAAACTTCTAGGATTAATAAAATAATGAACACCTTTAACCACTTTTTTTGTTCTCAAAGTAGATTATGGAACAATTTAATCCTGAAATATTTTATAGTATAGATCAAAAACCAAAGTTAGTTAGACAACTATTGAAAAGCACAAAACAATAGGCAGTTGATTCGTCCATGTATGAGACTGCTCAATTGTGCACATACATAAATCTGTCAGAGATTAAACCCAAGATATTGAAGTCTAGGAAGAAATACTTTTCAAACACTGAATTAACATTTCATGACTTATATTTCTAACTTTAATTAATTTACGTTATTCCTAATCATGATAATCTTACTTACTTACTTACGCCTGTGACCCCCAATGGAGCACAGACCGTCGACCAGCATTCTCCAACCCACTCTGTCCTCCGCCTTCCTTTCTAGTTCTATCCAATTGTTGTCCATTCTTCTCATATCTGTCTCCATTTCTCGGCATAATGTGTCCTTTGGTCTTCCTCTTCTCCTTTGACCTTGAGACTTCCAAGTGAGCGCTTGATTTGTGACACAGTTCGGTGCTTTCCTCAATGTGTGTCCTATCCACTCCCAGCGCTTCTTTCTGATTTCTTCCTTCCCAGGAACCTGGTCATTTCTCTGCCACAGTAGGTTGTTGTTGACAGTGTCTGACCAACTGATCCACCTGGGGCTCTGGATAAAGTGAAATGAGACATGGTGTAACGACCACGTTTCTAATAATAGATTCGTTTCTCTATTCAAACAGTTTTATAAAATATAGACGAAGTAATCTTTTTCATTGTATTTCAAAAGAAAATAAGTGAAATAAGTCTTTTAAGTATTGAAACTGTTCAATCTAATGTAAATACAAATAAAATTTGAATGTAGAATCATTTTTATCTTTGATAAATAATATCTTTTATCGTTCTTTTGTTTGTTAGTTTTCATAGAAAAAACTTAACATTTGAGTTTTTTGAATTTCTATGAAACCAATAGTTTGTATTTGCATATATTGCACATCTTGAATGAACAAGAATATTTTTCAACATATGCTTGTTATGTTGTTCCTCATGGATTAAAAATCTGTAAAGTATAATTTGTTGAACTTGGAAATGTGCTCTGTTTGATTGCTGATTCATTAATTCTAAGTCCTGAGTTCGATTCTCGGCAAGACAGGTGTACATCTCTTAGCTATTCTACACTAGGATGAAATAGCTTTTCAGTAATATCTCAACTGAGAGAAATCTGTGGTGAATACCAGATACAAAATAAAATAATCTCCATAAAACTAGTCCATTTAAATTCTTACTTCTCAAATTCAGTTCCATTGATCTGGCCAATTATTTTATTAAACAGGGTGATCAATGCGCTATTAAAATCTTGATACTCTGTGAGAGGTTCATCCATTATTCTATGAGGTCATACCCAACTATCTACCTAAAGAAATGTTTTTTTTGATGAAAATAATTAATTTCTACCATATATTTGTTTACAATTTGTAGAAACTATTACTATAATTCTACATTAAACTTAATTGACTGAGTCATGCTCATATGAAAACTGATGTTTCTAGTCAGTTTCAGAATATTTGAAAAGTGGAATACTTCCAAATGCAGAACGTTTGATAAAAAGTTGAGAGTCTCAGCCGGTATTTTATAGTCATAATGAACTCGTATAGTAGTGTCGAAATTCATCAATTCTATTAGGTTAATTTAATGCCTCATTAATCATTAGCGATCCAATATATACTTCAGACTAATGTA